CTTTTGATTGGTTATTCATGTCATATATGCAAGTAAGTGTATATAAGGGATTGTTTCCAAAAATGGAAACAGGTGGGTGGGGGGCCACTGTGTTTGATTCAGTACATGAGCAATATCTTAACAAATGCAAAAGATAAGAGGTTCTAATAATTTTATATTCTAGCTTGTCAATATCAGTAGTTTGAGTTCCTAATTTGTACGAAACTGTAGATTTTGTATTTTGACATCACAAACAGCTAATTTGAACTAATGCTGCATTCAATATACCAGGCGACACACAAAAATTAATGTTTAGCTGTGTTTTTTTAATATTTACCTTTAAATTAAGAAATTAACTAACATATAATACTAAAATTTGAATTATAATCTACAATTTGATACCAAATTTATTGACATAGATTCATAAAATAGTAGTTCAATAAAATTTTGATTGCAAGTTAACAAATGCAATGACGTGGCCTCTGACAAGTGAACTGTCATGATAGGGTTAAACCCGGAAAATAATTAATTTTTTTCTCCATCTGATATTATATCATGGGTATTATCCATGGCAGATAAAACTGAGTTTTAGCACTATTTAATTATGTCACAGTGCTTAATTCATTTTTCAATTCATAAACAGCGGCATTCATTCCTGAGAGGAAGAATAATATTCTTATATTTTTGTGATGTCAAAATACAAAATCTACAGTTTTGTACAAATTAGGAACTCAAACTACTGATATTGACAAGCTAAAATATAAAATTATTAGAACCTCTTATCGTTTGCATTTGTTAAGATATTATAAGTATTATATTCAAGTTGAGATTATGTAGATTTGAATAAGAAGCAAGAAAATATTCAATAAAACTTTTGTACAATAGTCTATAGGAAATTGCCACCATGTGGCTAAAGCAGTGGAAGATCTCATGTGTGTGTTAATCCCATCAGGTATTCAGACAGGTATTAACAACAGTTCAGTGTTTAGCATTATGAAAAACTCGTGAGATTAGTAACCTTCTTACCATCTCTGTCCAAGTCCATGCAGTACAAACCTTCTTCTGTTCCCAACACAATACGATCTTGATCTGTAGAAAGAAAAACAGGCTTAATGTCAATATTTCTACTACAACTACAAAATAAAAGTAAACCTATTTATATCTAATAAAAAAAATTCAAAACATACAAAAACATTAACAGGATTTGTAAAACAGCATTAGTTATTTGTTTCTTTGTTTTTTATTTCATCCTACTTTATTTCTTATTATTATGGATTTTTGTTCTACTAACTTTAGTTTTTAATTCTTAGATTTGAAAATACTTTATTTTCTTTGTTGTTTTCAAATGAAATTCTCTTTTGTTTCTATAGCGATACTTTTTATAATTATTCAAGTCTATAATTACTTACTATAAACAGATTTGTTGCGTATTCTTTGATAGATTGGTTGTGGCTTATAAAGATGCACTTATAACTACAAAAAAATATCCATGAAACATTTAGCACTGAAAAAAAAAGAATTAAACCTTCAATGTTATTATGGCATACAATGATGAAAGCTGGTGAAACAACTGAACTGACAGGCCTAATACTGATGATGAAAAATCATGATACTCTGCAATATTTTTTTTTTATTTTAGTTCTATTACGAATCTTAAATCAGAGGTTTCAAAATATTATTTCTGCTCTATATTTTGGTTGCCATAAGTAAGTCACTGCCTATCATGTTTGTGTGTGTGTGTGTGTGTGTGTATATGCAATAGAAAAATTATGTTAGTGTTAAAAGCTGGCAGTACAATGAAACTGACAGGCATAATATTTGTGATATATTTCATGCTAGGTCACAGGTATTTTTCCCACATTTGTCTTATCTTAACTAGTCCATTAAGGATTTCAAATCAGTTCTTGAGTTCTGTATTGAATGAAAGGCTTCCTGACAGTTACTTGTGATAAAAAAAGAGATAGACACGAAATCCTAATTTTATACATTTCTGACTTGTAACCTGTAAATAGGAATATGGAAAAGAAAATATGACTTATATTTGAATATTAGAGATACAAGTTGTCTATTACTAAAACGTTTAATTCATCTTCTTCATTAACAGTGTGATTTTTATATAACACTGACATACGAACATAACAATAAATTAGATGTACAAAATCATTTATAATCTAATTAGTTTTAATAAGTATTTTCAGCATGAAACAGAAACTCAACTCAAATGTATTATTTTGCTTTACTAAATACATCACTGTCTCAGTATCATTCACATTATTGGCCAATTATCAAGAGAATCAAGATAAGTAAATTGCCTAGAAAGATACATATAAATATTGGAATCACTGGCATTTAATAACTTTTAGGCTAATTGATATAATCTGGGGAATGATAACTAATTAAAACATAAAATTCCCATGTATCTCAGCTTAGAAATGCTTTACAGTGTCAATAAATTATATAAAGGTAAAAAGGAATGTGAAAATACTTTCAATATTTATGTTATTAAATAAGTCGCATCAATTTCAATAAAATAAATATATAAATTTAGGTAAAAACTTACCAATTACAGCTAATGATAGGATATTTTTGGTGACTGCCACTGTACTGTCAAAAAGCTCTTTTACTTCATAAACCTTGAAAATGAACAGACAGTTACCACAGTTATCTATGATAAAACCAAAACCATCTTTAATGAAGATTATTATCATCAACTAATACTATCATTTTAAAATGGGTCTTGTACAGTATCAAAATTATTTTTACACTAGGTTTTTTCTTTCTTTTTCAACCCTTACCATAAACATGTTTATGCTCGTGTGTTGTTTATTTTATGAATCAGTTTGTAATTTTTTTTTAAAGTTAAACTGTGTTCACATAAACTGAACTTATGTTTAAAATTGTTATTGTAAGGACAAAGACACAGGACTGAAACTTCATAATTTGAGAGTGTTCTTTAATGTGTTTGTTTATTTGGATGGATAGTGACAAATTTCACTGACCAGCTTTAAAGGAACCACCCAGATTTCTCTCTACAATAGCTTAGTACAGGAAGTTAGAATGAAACTCAGGTTAGATTAAAGGCATTGCTGTTTAATGAAGTATCTTTCACAGTTTGAAGATTTAGGTATAAGTTGTTAAAAAATGTTTATAATTTTGTTGGTACTTTTAAACAATAGACTGAACTGAAACAAAAACCCATAAATCCACTCTTCGACCAAAAACTGAGGAAGTGATTATTGGCAAAGTATGCAGAGGTTTTGAATTTTTTAAAAAGAGTATTAGAATAGTAACTACTAAACAACAGTATTTACTGGCTGTTCTCTGTATCTAAGTGGTAATGTTAAGTATCTAATATATACAAAAATAGTAAAGGATAATGAACAAGATTTACATGAGTTTTATATTTAAAAGAAGATATTTTATAACATAAAGAGCACAAGTTATTTTAATTAGATATGTGAATACTACACAAATCACATATTAGAGGAAAATAACAATTCACTATAACATAAGTCATTTAGTGTTGTCTTTATCCAGAAATCAATTTAATTTTCATTTCAAAACTCAGGGTACGTTTTAGTAAATGACTTACTTTCTGACAGGGAAGGTTGTTTCTGCGAAGAACACGGTGCAATTCACTCAAGAGATCAACCCATTTTCTTTTGTCAGCCTCTTTTTCTACCATTATTAGTGTATGGTTCTTGGTGCTTGGATAGTCCAGAAGAGAGGTGGTCACCTGCACAGGTATACAACACAGTTACTGTAACAAATGCTCACAATTGGTAACACCCTAGCTTTTAACTGATTTGTTTATTCAAGTCATTTGAGAAACTGTAACTTATCTACACTTGCAATTATAATGCTAAAATTTGTAACAATTTTATGACACAAATTTGTTTATGATAAACTTTTCAAACAATCATGTACATTCACATATTAAACAAGTTACTAATAGAAGTACTTGGATAGATTATGACAAATATTAAAATACATTTTAAAGCTGTTTCAATGCTAAAAGGTACCATTATGAAAATTTATTTCTTCTAAAACATATCTATTTTGTATTGAACTTTAATAAACTTTTTGTGTGTTTTCCTCGACTATTTTCACACTTGCATACACCACTCACACAAAAAAATTATTGTTTTTCACCCCTTCTTTCTCCAACTTTGTATATAAAGAAGTATAACAATTATTGTAAAAAATCTAGAGTATTTAAAACCTTTTTTTTTAGTGTACCAATACATATCTAGATTCATGAAAAAATTAACATGGCTTATAATGTCAAAGTGCACAATATGCATAATATAAAGACATATAAAACAATACTTTCACCAATAAAATGCCATATCTCAAACCAAATAAAACACCAAAAGTTAAAACAATTTACATATAGATGTTCTCTATTTCAGTAAATTAATGAATAAGACAGCCACATTTAATGTAGTGAACTATGGTTTTGGTGTATAGTGTTTATAATGTTTTTCTTCACCTCAAAGTTACTGACAATAAAGTAGAAAAGTACTGGTTACATAGATGTTGCCTCTTTTTCAAAAACTTAAATTACTTTAGGTTACTTTATAGAAACTAGAGACTACTAAAATTATATATAAGAACTGTAGTTCACCAGTATTGACACATGGCTATATTTTCTAATATTCCCATGATTTTGATAAGGAGCATGGTTCTCCAATATCCAGTGATGGAAAAACTCGGACACAGACTGAAGCTCAGAGTTTTCTCTCACTAAAATGTTTAATTTAGATGAAAAACAATGACTGCAAGGAGACAAAGTTGACATAGCAGAGTATATTTTTTCTTTATACTTGGATTTATTATTGTAAACACTGTTTATATATAACATTATGAATTATAAAATTCTTTTTGCACTGTCTTGCTTTTGATATAGCTTTACTGATTAAGAAAAATTATAACTTTTAGATTCTCATGTGCCTTTGTTGTAATATTTCACTATTGTAATGGCATCAAGTTTCACATAGGTAATTACAAACCAAACCTGGAATTTATTAAAGTAGGATCATTTATTTCCATGAAAATATTTCATAATTTTTACCACTATAAATTTAAAGACATCTCAAGAAATTAAATAAAACTGAAATATTATTACATGCAAAAATTATGAAATGGTTGATTACATTTGCATCAATGAGAAAAGTCTTAAATAATTTAGAATGCACAAAAAATCCATTTTTTTTGTTGTTATGCAAACTTGTATGCAAATATTACATTCATGCAAGCAGATTTTCACATATACTGTTTCAATATAACAGTTTTCACAGCACTTGAATTATTATAGTAATCAGTTATATTTATAAAAATCCTAAACTTATCATGAATTTGGCTGAATTTTATAAAATAAGAATAGATCATTGTTACTATTTAATATTTTAAACTTCTTATTTGTGTCTCCATCTATTCTGCAAATTTAATGACTATAAAATGTAAATTCATCACATATGTACAGTGAACTGCGAGAAATACATCATATAAATTCAAAGTTTCTATAGTTAAGAATCTAAACACAGCAATCAGTCTGGATAACTTTTTCATGCTATTTCAGTGAATTACTCAAAACTCAAAATAACTAAGGCCTTAGTTCTGCAAGATTTCTCCATGATTTATGTAGTTTTAAGAACACACTATACATTACATACATTGAAATTTACTATTATCCAAAACTTATCTTTGTAATTTGCTTTTAATTGACAATGTTTATATTACACAATCTTAAAATAAAACAATTCATTGATACATATTTAAGGCTTACAGTCAAGCCATATTTTTTAATTTTATCTTCAATAATGATTTAAAAGTCATGCAAGCACTGAGCACTAATATTACAAGTGTTTCCTCTGATACATTCTGCTATTTCAAGTAATCAGCTCAAACTAGCAAAGTTTAGAATATAATAATGAAACTTTTTAAACTTAAAAAAATGTAGCTTTATCTAGTACTTTAAAACAAATTACAATAAATGAAGTATTTATAATTATATTTTAACTAATTCTTAGCATTTTTTTCAACATAATATTATCAGCCTGAATGGAATCTTATGCAGCACATAGGCTAAATAGCAAAGTCAAACATCTCTAAAAGTTCAATACTACTGACCAGAGGGAGGGTAAGTTAGCAGCACTCATCATCCACAGGGCTACCTTAACTACGTAACAAAATTGACTGTCACTTCTTTAACACAACACACCCAAAGCTAAAAGCAAAGAACGTGTTAAGTAGTTTACTGTTAGCTCAAAAGTTGGACTTTCCAATCAGCAGTTCAGCATTCTAAACAAAGGAACGTGCCAAGTCCCTTTTTTGTGTGTCAAACTGCTATCAAGCTCAAAACTGAAAAACGAAAATGATTTAACTTACTTCAATAACATTCCATTTCAGTAGCTATAAATAGGATATTCAATAGGTTTTCAAGAAAAATAGACCAATGGAACGATTTATATATAGTTTGTAAAAAACAATACAATTACTGTATATGAGCATTATTTACCCTTGTGGATAATGCCATGCTGATAAAATATGCATCATAACTTCCATAAGTAATTTTCTTTGGTTTCATTCACACTTCCTCAAGATACACCAAGTTTAAATGGTCTGGTCCTTTGATGTGAAACATTCTTAAACTCAAGAAATAGCTAAACCGAAACCAACTGATTATTTTAATAAAGCAAAATTCAATAGTTGGTGATCTAATACATAATATAAACAGTATCTGGAATGTTTTATTCCTATTCACCCAACTGTTGAAAATGAGACATTTCAAGATTTAACAATAAAAAAAAAAGATTGATGAGCTGAGGCCATTCAAAGAGCACAACCAGCTAAACACTGTGAATGTTTTGTTTCACAATACCAAAGCCCCTGTAAGATGAAACATAGTATTTTCTTAGTTTTAGTTAATCTACTGATAAGTTAAAAATCTGTCATTACATGTTAATCAAAGATATATCAGGACATCCCATTAGTTCTGTCCAGATTTTAATTCTTTGAAGTTTACTAGTAATTTAGAATGTTTAATGGAAATAAAAAATATTTATATATCATACATATGTATTTGGGCATCTTTAAACTTATTAAATCTTATTTTACAGAATAAAGTATTTCAAATTTCACTGATTAAAGCCCTTTGAACATGGAAGTATCTAAGGAGCATTTGAGGCATATAATGCTTTATGAGTTTAAAAAAAGGGAACTCTGCAGCCGAAGTGACTCAAAATATTCACTCAGCTTATGGAGAAGAATGCCTGAATGAAAAAACTTGCAAAAAGATGGTTTGCAAAATTCAGAAGTGGAAATTTCAGCCTTGAAGATGAAGACCGAACACGACGTCCAGTTGAGTTTGATGACATGCTCCTTGTGGCATCACTTGAAGAAAATCCTGCAGTATCAGTTGAAGAATTGGCAATGAAGCTTGGTTCAAACCATACAACTGTTCATCGTCATCTTCAACAACTTTGAAAGGTTCCTAAACTTGGAAAATGGGTGCCTCATGAATTGTCTGAAGTGAACCGCAAATTGCGAGTTGAGATATGCTCTTCTCTTCATTCTCGTGACGTTATATCGCCTTTTAAAGATAGATTTGTGACTGGTGATGAAAAATGGATTTTTTATGAAAATGTTAAACATCGTAGGCAGTGGCTTAGTAATGGGGAAAAGGCCCAACCACAACCGAAAAGGGAACTTCATGCGAAGAAGGTTCTTCTCTCTATCTGGTGGGATTGCAAAGGAATTATTTACTTTGAGTTGCTGCCAACTAATGCGACAATCAATGCTCAAGTCTATTGCCAGCAATTAGAGCGTTTGAACGCGGCTTTAAAGAAAAAATGACCTGTTTTAGTGAATCGAAGAGGAGTGGTGTTTCATCAGGACAATGCACGACCCCACACTGCAAAAATCACGTCCCAGAAGATTGAAGAACTTGGTTGGGAGAAAATTCCTCAACCGCCAATTTTTAATAATATGAACAAATAGGCAAATTTTAATATTGTCTACAATCGGGAAATCACTTATTCTGCTTATTATCAATGTTTGGGTGGTCTTACTTATTGAAATATAAGGTTTTGAGTGTTATTTCAAGAATAAGTTTGTTTTTTAAAGTGATTTTGCCAGAATGTTCTATTAGAGTTTTGAGCAAATTGCTGTAATGATCACAATTATGAACCACTATCTTGGCTCATGTTACTGTAGTCTGTAGCTGTAACAAAGCATTAATCTAATTGCTAGTCCAATATCTCATTTAAAGAGATGGTTAAAAGCAATACCATATACAACAATTTACACTTCTAATCATAGATATTTTATGGTAATGTTTCACACAGATAAAAAATACACAAAACTGCAGCACCTCTTTTTCAGATGTTCAAATATTGAAATTTAACATGATTTGTCACATACCTTAAATATACAAGGAACATCTTTCTTGTTTGCATGAATAACATCTGCTTCTAACACACTGGAGACCATAAATTCTTCATCTCTGGAAATAGTGCACAACAATGTAAAAATTAAAGCATCAGTCAAAATTGCATGTTATACAGTTTGATCATATTTCGTTATCATACCTAACATGCATCACACAGCAAACTTCAGTTTTCAAATTTGATGACAAGGAACCTACTTTGAGACTAATAATACTCGGACACAGCTTGAATGGGTAATGAAGAAAACTTTAATATAAGTTTTAACATAATAGCAAATGTACAATGTTTTGACAAGGTTTTGTCATCATCAGATACAGAACCTTGTCGAAACATTGTACATTTGCTGTTATGTTAAACTTATATTAAAGTTTTTCATCATTACCCATTCCAGCTGTCTCCAAGTATTATTAAATTTCAGTTTTCATAACTGTTTTGTGTCACATACTTCAAAGAATAGTCTCCTAATTAAACAAACTACTTTACACAAGCTTAATTTTCACAGGAACATATGGCATATAAAAATATTAAAGATGATAAAACACGAAAATTCAAATTTATTTAGTGATGGACGTGCGCATAAGTCCAATGAAACATACTCAAATACAGCTTGCATTTAATGTTTCACTGTACATGAAAATACATTTTCATGTTTCATAAGGTATTCTTTTTTTTTTCTGCTTTGAATAAAACAACATTTTCTTAAGGTAATAATAAAAAATTAAGCATAGTTTGCATATCCTAATGATTTTATTAACCTTATTTGAATACTACTGAACAAGTACAGTGTTTGGATACAAGAAATTTAATGAGCTCCACTCATATTGATAAACCACTGCATGTAAAAAAAACATTTTATATGACACAATATAAAACATTTAAACACATTTATTGCATAATATAATTAACATTTTTAGATACTAAAACTATCAACATGAAAAGAAGCTTGCACATTTATTTTAAATTCTCTAAAAAGGTAAGCAAATAAGTCACTTTGGGTCAGACTAATTCAGGTTTACTGAGGATTCAAACCACATAAATTGTCAATAGTGTATTAATAACCACATCTCCTGAGTGAACAAACAATATTAATATAACCTGATGTAGGCCCCACCAACAACAGTGAAACAACTAAAAATTAAAGAAAGTCCAACTGATATCTAACTCGATGATTGGGTTTAGAAAATATTATATTAGAAACCAATGGAAAATAGAAGAGTCCAATTCATATGTAGTTTTTATACAACTGTATGTTTGGATTTAAACTTTTCACTGATAAATATTTTATATAAAATACTGAAAAAAAAAATTTTACTTTCTAATTAACTACTTTATGAAAAAGTGAATAAACCATATCGGTACATTCTCTTCTTGAGCTTGAATGATTTAAACAATACTGAGATGGCTTGAATAAATGACGTCTAAAAACCAAGAAATATTTCACCATTGTAAGTGTTTCCTGTAAGTTGTCTAAAATTTGATGAAAATAATACAAACCTCATGTCTAACACTTGTGACACAGACACTCCTGGGTTTTTATCTTGCACTAGGTCATACAAAAACAGCTTGAAGTCACACACAACCAGAAACTGTCGAATCCAGCCTTTTTTCACACCTAAAGGCTTGGGAACCTGATAATGAAAAATTATAACTTGAAGTCTTTGGAACAGAACTAGTCAAACTAAACAAAACTAAGATATTCTTACAGGACACAGGAAAGCCTTTCAAGATAATTAATTACAATTTAATCTAAAAAGAAAAAATCCTGGATCTTTCAGTTAAAGAATAAAATAGGTGGGGAAATTAGTTCTAAAGGTACCTCGTTACCCCAGCAATACTTTAATATTTTAACAACTAACCTTCACAAAACCATCACATGCAGTTCCTACACCTTTTGTCAAATCAATACCAGCAGGTCGCCTGACTGAAAAGTAACAAACACAAAAAAGGTTATATCTAATCTAATGAATGAGCAATTATGTTACATGAAAAATGCATTGTTTTAACCATATGTGCATGGAGTCAGAATTATATTGAACATTACACATATAGCATCATAAAAATGGTGTCCATTTAGATGGCCACATTTCTGTGAAACTATACGTGGAATGTTTACTATAATTCCAGAATTACTAAATATATTTCCAGAAATTTTCACAAACTTTTAGTAAACATTACTGTCTGTTATACACAAAAAAAATCTGAATTTTTAACAAAGTATTTCTATTAAAGATTTGTCTATGAATTTATAAAGCCTATGTTCTAGAACCTCTTAAACAAATATCAAAGTTTTCTTAGGTAAAACTTTATATTTTCTCTAACCTAACACTAAATGTAGTGAAATCATCAATTTACAATGAATGGAAAAGTACAATAAAATCAGTAATATTTTTTTCTCCCTAGAATAACTACAGGTTTTTAAACAACAATTACAATTATTTATCCTAACAGATTTGGCTTCTGGCCTTTACACATCTGCTTGCTTTTAATTTTGTTTTATAACTGCACAAGTGTGCTTTTGACACCATAATGAAGCTCTATCAGTGGAAGTAATAAAACAGCAGAAAAAACTAGAGTAAACAAACTATCCTTCAGTATCAAGTTACAATAGATACTGTGAAATATTTTGTTCATTAATGGTCTGTTAGCTAAGAATTTTATAATCTTTATATTTTTGCTAGTTTTGTTAAGAAAATATTAATAAAAAATAAGAAATTTAGAAGTTACATTAGGCTTGAGGTTTCTGTACTTTGTAGTGTGCTTCAGTAAAATTACTTTTTCACACTACATTTGTTGTCCATACAATAACTCACGTTGCTTTAAAAAGACATATTTTAGAACATAAGAAATACACCAAATGCTCGAACAGATTGTTCCAAAACTACGGTAGTGTAACTGGCTTTCTAACTGATATAGAAATAGGTAAAAAAAAATATATGTTAGCTACTCAGAGCTGAATAACAATGATCACACCCAGTGAATGTCAAGCAAACAGGTCTACTTCTGGAATGCCAAAATGAAATCACCACATATGGAATATTGTAAAGTAAAATATGCTTTTTTTATTAGATATATACATGTCCAATAGTAATGTCAGAAAAAATTATAGACATGTCTTTAAAAACAAACAGAAATGGGAGGGTGTGTCATATGGGTTTGACAGATATGGTGCTATGACAGTAAAGCAAGCTTAGTGGTTAAAATTTTATATTCTGGCTTGTCAGTATCTACAGTATATATTTCTAACTAATTGAACACTCTGAAACTCAAACAAGGGTAAAAAGAAAATCTAAAATGGGTAAATTTAGAATGCAGATGTGTCACATGAAATAGAGAGGTAAAGTCTGAGAATTTATTTAAGTATTTCCTTTTTAAATTAAGATTTCAAACTTAGATATCTTATAATTCACATTTTTAAAATTATGTTCTGTTGCCAAGCTTACTGACACACATTATAATAAAGTTGTTTAATTAGAAGTTGAATGTAACTATATACAATGTCATGACACGCTCACTTTGACCAAGCTATTCATATAGGGTTAATTGGAAAAAAATCACCAAATTTTCAAAAGAGTAAGTATCTTAAAGACATTTCATTTACTACTTAAGCTACTATTTGGATTTTCATTTTACTAAAAAACTAAGAGTTTGTATATTGGTTATACTTTTTCTCAAAAAATACTAAAGTTATATAAAACATTAAAATCAAACTTTAAAATTCTTGGTTCATCACTACAATGAAAAGCCAACTGTTATAGATCTATATAGAAATTTCATGTTAGAAATTTAAATACTAAGCAACTATTATTTGGTTGTTACAAAAATCCGTCATTATCTTTATGTTGTGCAACAATGTTAATAGAGTCATTGATGAACAGGAACATCCTATGTTTTAATCACGTAACTGTTGTTTTGTATTTGAAACAATTACTTAATGTATCAAAATATGAATAAAAAAAGATTATTTTTATATGAAAGTTATTTCACAACTTTCCTTTGGTAAGTAGTTCCCCCAAGGTTCTAGTTTCATTCACTGAGTAACTAAAAGAAGTAAACTTACTGTATTAATAAACCTCAGCTAATTCAAAGAAACTTATATTAAAACAAGTCTAATTTACAATAAAGTATGAATGAAAAACAGCAAGTAGAGCCAGATAATCAAATCAAAATCAAATGTTATATCATAATATTGATTTGTTTTTAAATGTACAAATTATCACTAGGTGTATATTGAATAGCCTTTAAAAACAATAAATTTATGTTTAGCAAAAACATTGAAATTCTGTTGAAAACCTGCTTACAAAAGGAGTAAACAATAAACACTCAGATACATATACATACATACAGAAATATATATCAACACACACACACAGTAAACCTTTTACATAACACTACACAAATGTAGTTTGGATGAATGTAATACACAATACAACATACATTTCCATACTAAATACATATTTGAGAAACACTTATGCATACATTATAAAATATATATATGTCTTAACCAAAAACAGCACATCTTATGTAAACACAAGATACACTACAATTACATGCATAATCTGATCTAAGCATAACTTGTTATTGTTTCATGAAAGCTGCTCAAAAATACCATGTAATAAAACAACAATTACACACAAAAATAAAAAAAAGCTTATTCACTAACAGTTTTAGTGTATTAAAACATAGTATTTTGAAATACAACAAATGTTTTTCTAGCAACTGCTAGAGGGTTAACTCTTCAACTCAATTAGTAGTGCACTCACCTGGTGTGTGAAAGGAAACAATTTCAATATCAAGCTGAAACAAGGTGCAATGAGAAGCCTTGTTTGTGAAATAAGATGAATGTGGTAGTTTCAATGCTCTACTGTCTTATAACAAGATCAGATTAACTAAATTACAGTGGCATATCATAATTTTTAGATAAAAGTATATCATACATGAATTTTTGTGTATGTCTTATTTTAACTAGTGCAGTTTTAAGAAAAAGTGAATGTTTTACCAAAGATTTCTGTAGTACCTCAGATAGTTTGTGATGTATGTCTGATCACAAATCTATCAATATTAAACAAGTTTCACTTGAATACTTAACAGTTTTTTCAACAGTTGCAATATGTAAACTTGTGAATAATAATAGACTTGAAAATTAAAAAAATTAACATCTACTAGGTAGCACTGCCTCTAATATATTGATTAAAATAATTACTTACGGTAACCACATTCATTACAGATCTATTGTGAAGTGTCAGAAGGTAAAAATTACATTTATATGATATTTTCTTTCATATATTCAATAATTGAAAAGCACTGCATAAAAGACTGGGAATGTTGACTGTTCAATAGTGTGTGAGTAAAGATCATATGAGGAGGAGAGTTTTATAATTTCAACTATTATAACAATGAATTAAACTAATACATGCAGCCACTTTTAACAATTTACTTTATTAATTCTCTCGCTACAGGCTCAGCTAAATCGATTGGGTTTGTGGCCCAAAATTCACCTTTATAGTTTATATACTATAACTTCTAATATTTTTTGTGTGTCTTCATGAAATTTCACAAGCTTTCAGTAACCATTAATAGTCATTTGTAGACATTTGGAGTATTTTCACTAAACCTTTCTTTATGAATATAAATGGACTCAAAGTGTTGACTGCTACAAGTGCAAAGTGATTTTCATGTAAAGATTAAAAATACTTTTCTTCATCTGAGAAAAGCTCAAATTTCATTTGTATAATCTCTAAACCCTCAGAATTTCTAATGTTATTTTTCAGTAAAACTTTATATTTTATCTGTTATTTTCTCTACCTTAACTCTATATCAAAATAAATCTAAATTACCATTTTTTTTCTTTCTAGAATGACTTCAAATTGTAACATGAAACTACATTTGTTTATCCTGTATAGCTTTAAACTTGTAACATTACACATCTGTTTATATTTAAATTTCATTGATTTTTTGCCCTTTGAACCATGTCTAACTAATATTCCCATCACAGAAGTTATAAATCACTTGGGAAACATGTAGCTCAGGTTACTCTAAAAAATTACATAATGCACAGGCTACTTGTGAGTTACTCATGAGCGTACCTCAGGAAAAGTTATTATTATTATTCATTTTACCCAATCAGGCCTTATCTAACCTAAAAGTTTTTAATTTTTAGATTTTAGTTACTTTTATAATAATAAATAAAGAATACACATGAAAAAAAAGAAATAAAGTACTTACTTGTGTAGTTGTCTTTTTCTTTTGCTGTTGACTGTCGATGAAATCTAACCCTACTTTTTTTATGCTAATGGCACTACTGCAGTGAATAATTTTGTATTTAATCAAATAATGCACCAAAGAATACAGAATAATAACATGCAAAAAAGCAGACAATGTGCCATAAATATCACAATTTTTCTGGCTTCCTAAGTATGCAACAAGACCAATTAAAAATTCAGCTAAGCTCACGTGGGAATAAAGTTTGAACTGGAAGCAAAATAAGACAAAAATGTACAAAAACAACAACATAACATAATATGTCATTTTACAGATTAAAACCTTGTCTTTCTATTAGTTATAAATAATATAACCAATAATAATTTGTGAAAAAGCAGATGTGACAGGTGAGCATGGCAAGAGAAGGCTCATTTTCTATGTTATGGTTCTTTAACCAAATAAAAGTGATGGCTATAACAATTATTCTTTTCTTGAGCAATGACAAAATTATAATGAGTAACTTACAGAGGGTTGGTAAATAAACTAGAGAAGAGGGGATACCTACAAAATAAATGTCAATTCTCATATTAGGGGAAATTGAAATTTTTTTAATATTGCCTCATAAAATTAAGAACTTAAAGCTTGTATACTATACACCTGGAAAAAAGTTAAGCACCCCCGTGTTTTTTTCAAGTGATTCAGATTCGACGTTCTTGTGACTGATTATAAATTACCATTCAATCTAAACGTGTTTATC